TAGGTTGTCTGATTATATTTTAAAAATCTTTTATGTTGTTATAATTTCTTTATCAGTATTCTGATATAAAATAACAATAAGGTTACTCATTATCAAGGGATAATTTTTGAATAAAATTTTGCCACAAATTATGAAAAGAAATTACATCTCCATTTAAAAAAGCTATATATTCTTGATTTTTTAATTTTATTTTAAAGTATATTAAAAAAATATTTATGTTTAAGTAATTTTAAATTTCAAAATAGAATGTTTTCCATAATACGAGAACAGTATGCCTTTCATGTCTGAAATATCAAATTCGACAAAACACTTATCTCTAAGCCAGTCTTTCAGTTCTAAAACAAAAGTATTGGTATATAGGCATTGACAGAATAAATGTTCAATCGTTTCTCTATCAATGTTACAATATGAGCATAAATCATAATCTCTTATATCTATTCGATGTAAAAATGTATTTGTCACAAGAATTTTTTTATTTATCTTATACTGAAAATCTTTCAACTTTATTTCCTTCACAGTATTTAAGCTTGTACAGTAATTTAAAAACTCCTTCTGTGATATAGGTCCTACAGAATTTACCTATTTGTTAGGAACAACTAAATTGTCAGCGTCAATAAGGATATCATAAAAGAATCTGCAACCCTTACTTTTATGTATAACACATTTAAGATAGGGATTTAATGAAATGTTTTGCTTGTATAAAAATACTTTATCTTTACTGTTCCTAATCTTTTCTCTCCATAAAAAAGGGAATGACTTGTTGAATATCTAAAAATGTGCCTTTTATCTTATATATATCTTTCAATTTTTGAATACTGTAAATATTACCGTCATTGTCATATAAATTAATAATAGGTATTATATTGTGATGTATCCAATTGTTAAAAAATAAATTAGTGTTACGGAATCTAGTGTTAAACCATAATGGTGAATATAATATATCTTCGATACTTTCTATGTTCACTTTTTTCAAAAGTTAGTCCATGTTTTCAACACTTGTTTACAGAAAATATTTGAAAGTTCTTCAGATATAACTGATGCATAACCAGGACCAAGTTTTACCACTTTGGTTATATTCAAACGAGAGAGGGTAACCCAAGTTCAATAGACGTTTGATCCAACTTAACTTTAAACTGTTCATAAAGGCTCTAACATTTAACATTTTAATATCACCTGCCTCTATATTTTTATCTATTACTGATCTTTTAATTTTATCTGGACCTTTTTTACATAAAAACCGGTATAATAATCTTTCTATTTGTTTAATGAAATCTTCTGAAGGATTTAGCAATGACATAAACAAATGTACAAATTTTGAAATAATCAAAGATTTTATAATAGTGACTCTTCCAAAAAGAGTTAAATTACGTTACCATACATTTATCAATTTTTCACATTTATTAAGAATTTCATGTCCGTTTAAGTCCCAAATGTCCTCAACGTCTGCGGAAAATATTACTCCTAATATTTTTATTGGAGATTTAGACCAGTCTAATTCAATCTTTTGACATAATTTAATATTTGAATTTCTTCTCGACCCTATCCAAAATGCTCTTGTTTTTTCAGTATTTATATTTAAACCAGAAATAGCATAAAATTTATCAGTTCCATCTAAAAACAACTGTGTGTCATCTGCATACTGACTTAACTGTAAATCGATATTCCAGTAATATTATTATTTTTCCTAATCATTGAACCCAAAACTTCCGCACATAAGATAAAGATATAAGGTGAAATTGTCTACAACCACGCTTAACTTTAAAGTAATCTGATAAATGACCATTTTGTATGATACAGGTTTCTGACCCATTTTGGAATAGATTTATCCATTTTTTGAAAGAGGGACCAACATTTAAATAATCTAAAGTTTTGTGAATAAATTTCCAAGAAACTGAATCGAAAGCTTGCTGAAAATCTATAGATAGTAAAAGACCTGGTATATCGTTTTGTTTAGTTTCAAAAAGAATGTCATATATCAATTTGATATTTTCACTAATACACCTTCCTGAGATAAAACCTTTTTGATCTTGGCAAATAATGTTGTTTAAAACTCTTTTCAGTCTGTTTGCTATAGCAGCAGAAGCCATTTTATAAATTACATTTAAAAGTGTTATTGGGCGCCAATTCTTCATAAAAAATCTACTTTTATTCGGTTTAGGCAGACACGTTATAACTCCTTGTTTCTGAGTGACAGATAAACTATCATTAAAGTAGCCAAAGTTAAGAGCTTTTAAAACAAAAATTGAGAGATCTTTCTAGAAAATTTTTTTAAAAATTCAACTGTATATCCGTCTAAACCTGGACTTTTACCATTTTTCATGTTGCTTAAAGCAATATTTAACTCATCAATTGTCAATTCGCCCTCTAACATTTGAGAATCAAGTTCACTTAATTTATTTTCATTTTCCCCTAAAATGTCTTTTATAGGAGTTTTATCTATATTTGAATTTATATATAGATAATTTTTCGTAATAATCTTTTTGAAAATTGAGTATATCTTTCGTATTTCTTATTTCTTCATTGTTTTCCCTAATCAGTTTTGTTATTAATTTATTTGTAAATTTTCTATTTTCAAGATTTAAAAAATAACTACTAGGTTTTTCTCCTAAATTTTCATAACGGCATTTCGATCTTAACATCACTCCTTTTAACTTTGATTTCCGTAACGCTTCTAACTGAGATTTCTTTTCATTAAGTGCCGCCCAAGTTTCCTCACTCGAAGAATTGAGATTTTCGGATATTTGTTTTTCTAATGCTTGAATATTTATTTCTAAATCTTTTTCTAGTTTTTCTAATCGTCTTTTTTCTTTCTGCACTATATTTTATTGTTTCGCCTCTAAGAACGACCAAAAATGTTTCAAGAAAAAGTTTGGGGTTAATATCTAAATCTGGATCTGTATAATTATCTTCAGTGTTATTTTCTGTTTTATGTAAATCCACTAAATTATGTAATGTATTCTTAATTAAATTTCCAATAGCCTTTTCCCCTTTCATTTTCAAATAATTTAATTGTTAACAAAACACCTGAATAGTCTGTTCTATAACCTGTAGTTATTTTACAATTAGTTACATAATTCATCATATCCTCATTTACAAGAAAAAAATCTAACCGTGCTTGCTTTCTTGTCGGATTTTTTCTTTTCCAAGTATATTCTCTTTTATTGCCATTTAAAACACGCCAGACGTCTACATAATTGTAATTGTTCATTAGCTCTAAAATACTTTGTCTTGCTCGAGGGTTATTAATATTTGTGTAATTTTCATAATCCACTGAAGGATTAATAACAAGATTCCAATCTCCGCAAATTATCACGTTATCGTTACCTATGGTGGCATATTTCTGCCACCAGATAACCTGATAACTAACTAGTTAATTAAGAGGTTAACTAGTTACGTAACTAGTTAACCTGATACCTAACTAGTTAATTAAGAGGTTAACTAGTTACGTAACTAGTTAACCTGATACCTAACTAGTTAATTAAGAGGTTAACTAGTTACGTAACTAGTTAACCTGATAACTAACTAGTTAATTAAGAGGTTAACTAGTTACGTAACTAGTTAACCTGATAACTAACTAGTTAATTAAGAGGTTAACTAGTTACGTAACTAGTTAACCTCTTAATTAACTAGTTAGGTATCAGGTTATCTGGTGGCAGAAATATGCCACCATAGTTACCAATTTCAAATATTTTTTGTTTAATATTTTCATAAAAAGCCGGTTTATCATCATTTGGACCATATAAATTAACGAGAGTAAGTCTTAAGTTCGGCTTTAACATATCGAGAATAAGATAATTTCCATTTTTGTCACTGTATACATTTTCTACTTTTTGCTCAAAACTATTTCTAAACAAAATCATTACCCCTCTACGATTACGTTTATATGGGCTAAAATAGGCATCATATCCCCATTCATTTTTAACAAAGGAACATAACTTTTCTTCAACGTGAACATCCTGCAGACGTATAATATTATAATCTTTTTTCCTAAGATAATGAAAAATATCGCGACATTTTGAGTATTTCCCAGCCCATGACAATTCTGAGAGTATATGGTTAAATCATCATCTATTGGGTAAAAGAAAACATAATTTTCTTTTAAACCACCTAAATAAAATAAATAACTTAAAATTTTACGGCCATTATATAAACTATTACTAGGCGGCATTTCTTATTATATTATTGAGATGACGGAGAACATAGTTTCAAGTTTCATTTAAAGAAAATCTTTATACAAAATTACAAACAAACAAACGAACGGACATAACAAATAAAACTACACATATCTTTTTACATACCTGTACAAAAATCAAAACAAAAAAAACCCCAACAAAAATCACTATCAATTGTTGGCGAATGACTATTATAATAGTCTATCTTTTGAAATGTAAAGGTGACCCGGGTTCGATTTCCGGGCGGTGCAAGTCACTCTCATTGTGATTGATCATGAAATCATTTCTACGGTTATCGCACTGTACCTCTGCTCTGGAATAAACAGAAAATATGAGTTAGTGAACTGGTACTAGTGAACTGCTTGATAGTCTGTCAATGAACGTTTCGGTGGCTGAACTGTGCTCTGGAAAATCAGGAGGGTAAACTTCCATCACCACTACCAAACTTAATTTTTAAATGAAAACAAAGCAAATTAACATGTATAGAATGCCATTTCAGTACATGAATATCAATTTCATTTTTACTTCAGCCTGACCAGGGTCATGTTTGACATTTGGTATTTTGTAAGTGATAGAAAATAATGCAATAATAGACAAATGTATAATAAAATATTTGCATAATTATTTATATTCATACTGATATTACATTGGGATAACTATCGCGGAACTCCAATGGGGGGAATGATCAAATGCCAGGACTTTATTACTGGTAATATGCCGATATATTATTCATTAAAGTAGCTTTTATCTACTCAGTTCTAGACGCAATTAAACAAATGTTGAAAACTGATACTAGTTAGTATCTACATGCATGATATATGAGGAATATCATCAGATCGTTTGATATTTATGAATTTATTTTGATAAGAAAGACAAACATTGAAAACAGGCTATAGTCTTAATCTAAAGATTTTTCTCTTTATTTATAATACAGTGATATAAACATTAAGACAATGTGAAGGAGGTTAATCATTTTGTATGGATGTAGATCTCAAATTGCGTTGGTTGTCGGTTTTGCCGTGTTTGAGCTTTTGTCAAGAAAGAATCAGGTATACAGTTACATCTTAAAAAAACAACCAAGATTTTACAAAACTTGTTGTCATCGAAGAATAAAAAATAAGGATGGAGTCGGAAAACAAGAAAATGTCGTTTTCACAAGTTATTAAGGAGTTGATGGAGTCGAGTACTGTCCACGGAATTCCCAAAATTGCGTCCTCTCGCCAGGTGGCGGTCAAGGTCATGTGGTGTATTCTTATGCTGGCTGGATTTTGTGTCTTGACCATACAGCTTGTTTTCTTATTCAGGTAAATACATAAAGACAAGTTACTTTATCTAAAATAATACAAAATTTGATTCCCTTAAAACTCCCATTCAATAAACATTTAATTTATTAAAACAATATGCAGGAACTTCTTTTATTTTTTATTTATATTTATTTTTGTACATAATTGTAGGCATAACATTTAAAAGTTACAAATAGCACGACTTGATCCACTTTATTATGCAAGAGCCAAAGCATCAAAGCGAACTTACTTACAAAAGAGTAACATATCCATCAAAATGCCCACGCACGGCAAAGAGTGAGACTTTAAAAAGGTGTTGGAGTACCACACTAAATACCGTATATCGGAATATTACGTATAAGGCATATGAATGATTAAATTCTTAAATCTCGTCTTTTTACCCGCCGAAATGCACTTCAAGACGTCAAATTATCTCTTCGCATCGATTTATACATGATAATAAATGAAATATGTAAGAATAAGCGAAAAAAGGCGATAATTTTTCTACTTTGTGATCATGAATTATGCAGGCGTCTTGAGGTACATGTACTGCTCCAACACCCAAGTGAGTTCATCCCCATGGCAAACGGTTTATGTTAAACCGAGCTGGGCTCTTAGTGATCAGTGTATATGTCCTATTTATTAATTTCTTGAAAAAAATATAAAAACAAAATACATTGATTTTACAAAGATGATGTTTTACATTTTTTTGCAGGTTCATTAGCAAATAAACCTCTTGAAATATATCAATTTAAGGCGTATGCTTACATTCGGGCAGTCTGATCAGGATCCACAAACTCTATAGCAAGTAGAGAAACTGATAGCGAACAGCATGGATCCTGATCAGACTGCGCGGATGCGCAGGCTGGTCTGGATACATGCTAGTTGCAACCCCATTATGTTGGTTTTGTCATGACACGGTTCAAATCAAGGAAAAAAGAGGTCCCCAAGTTCCTTTTCGATGCATTTGTCCCTGAATTTTAAAATTTTGTTCATTTTAAGGGCATATATTTAATAATAAAGGTAAGCAATGTATTTTCCCGATTTAAAAGTTGCCAACTTCCTTTTGAGCGTGATTGCTGGATATACCAAGATTTGAAAAGCTTATTTCTTGATCTTTATCTTAACGGTACTAGTGATATGACGATATATTATGCATAAAAGTAGCTTTATTAACTTAAGTTACTCCGTCAATGCTTTGCTTTATGCCCTGTCCTGATTTTGTATGGTGTTCTGAGTGACTCCGTGCCGGTGGTCCTGTGTTGCTTGGTCGTGTGTTGTCTCGGTTGATTGAACTTGTGATGAGAACAAATGGATGAAAGAAGCACCAATGGTAAGAAACAAAATCCAATCTAAGAATTTCAATGTTTATTGCACAATTGATTCAATTGATTGTTTTAAATCGATTTTCTTCATAGGATGACTGTATTTCAGGACTTTTCGCTCACATCCAGTGCAGACGACAGTATCGTTAGAATTTAGTACCCTTCAATTTCCCGCCATTTCTTTTTGCAACATGAACCCGGTGCGAAAGTCTAAAATAGGAATGTCTGCGCAACTCAGAGATACATTATTTCCTAAGGTATAATATATGCACCTATGTCTTTTCTTGAATTCTGGTCTTCTGACATTTGATATGTGGATGTTTCTAGATTCAAAATGTCACTATTTGCATGTTTAAATGTTGAATTCTGCTTGTACTTGACAGTAACGCCCATGAGCAGGTTCAATCAATCCGAACCTGCACTATTTTCAATTTTACCGTTTTTGGACTTTCTTAAGGGATTCAAATTTTATCTGTTATATATATCTTTTTCATGAATTCTATATTACTTAAAAACATCTTCTCGATTTTCTTTCTTATTATTAGCCAATTCCATTTTACATCCATTTTATTAAAAACAATACAAAAATATATTTTATATCATATATGGTCAAAGCTTGGTTACAGCTTTATGGTCATGATTCTTATCGAGCTTGCTGGTCATAATTTATATTTCAGAAAAAGAAATACTCTTTGAATACGGATGAAAACCCTACTGTGGAAATAGAAAAGAATTCACGACGAAAAAGAGAAGATTTTGACCTCATTGGAGATTACAATGTCCTTCCAGACGAAACATTCAAGAACATTACGAATGAAAACATTGAGGAAACGCTTGATAATGCGGTAGAAGTTTTTCCAAACGATACTGCATATGACACTGTCGATATTGCAGACGACAATATCACTAGTTCTTTATCAGAAAGTACAGTTGCTCCAGAAAGTACGACTTCTTATTACTTTGAGTATGACGATGATAATAATTATGTTTGGGACGTATTTGATTATCATCGCTTTGAAGAGGATGAGTTCAATTTGACAGCATTTAATGACACGACAAACACCATACAACTGACACTTTCTGAACATTACCAGGATCCTAAAGACAAATGGGAGGCGCTGATAACAAAATTCAAGACAACATATAGGAATATTTCTGTGTATGTCCTCTTCTGACTGATATATATAGAGGAAATTGAATGTTTTTGGGTTCAAAACTATTGTATATTTATTGAACGATTTTAATAAAAGCATATTATGCGAGCCTTATGCGAGCATTATATGGTTTTATTCAACGAGTTCAATAATTTTAGTATTGAATCTTCTACGAATATAATATTCAGTTTAAGCGCTTGAGTTTAAACTCTTTATTTTTACACTATACGTCACAGTATTTTTGCAATGACCTGTATATTTGGCTCCTCCTCCTAACAAGTCATTCAATCTGGTTCGCGCATGCTTAGTAGACTGGGTATATAAACCGAGCACGCTTCTGCAAATTCCTTTTCGATCCAGTCTCCGAGCTCCAGAAGCTGCCGTGAACTAACACGGAAAAATATTGGAGAACAAATTATGTAGCCGTTCTGAACAAACATGGCAAAAAGACTTCATTTTTGTGTTTTTTTTAAGTAGCCGAAGGTAGAGTTGCTTTTCTTTATTATCTTTAATATTGTGCTAAATTTATCTAACATACCAATTTTTCAAATTTTATTACGACCACGAGATAAGACAATCTAGATCTATTACCGATACTGTAGGCTTAAGGGCAGAGAAATGTCTGAGAAAAAGTGATCCTACTAAAGACATTGTTGATACTATTTTGCAATACTGCAGTACTTAGGTTTATTTAGCCTAATAAAAACAAAAATTATTTGATCACGTCATCACTAGACTTTATGACGTAACAAATACCTTGTGACTAGTGGAGTATACAGTGTAATAAATGCCCTGACAGTATGTTATTGTGTTAATGTTTATAAAGTATTGATAAAGAAACTTTATCTACCCATAAATTAGGTTGAATGATTTGTCCAGGTAGATCTATCCTTAAATATATTAAACTTTTCAGGTAGGGATGCTTCATAATGGTTAGTAATGTCATTCGTAGACATTATTTATAAGTCGTGATAACGTAATGCGTTAACCTTGTATTTGTTGTAAACTCAGCATTTTAATTCTGATTTTATTCTACTTTCTTTTACAAATTGCTGGGGCCATGCCAAACGACAACCTAACTTGTCACAAGTTTTCTGGCTGTCAAGGTTTCTTTGAAGAGACTGGTCAACATTATGTTCTAGACAATGGCACCGGAACAGAACACAGAAGTCGGTAGAACCAGCAGAAGTTGTGATGCCTAAATCAAGCTAATTGTTGATACAGAGTAACCGATAGACAGGTGACGTCACTGTTTTTTAAATACAAATTATAGTTAAAATTTAATCTATGCTGTTTGGACAAAAATGACATTATCAATTAAATACACATATATTCCTTATTTCAGAAGAGTTCTTCAAAAATGCAGAATATTAACAAAATGTCGATTTTAACATAAAATATTCTTAAAAGCAACTGTCACAACTGTAAGAAAATGTTTTAAACTTGGGCGGATACCTTGGAGTGATGGAATTTTTGTAATTTTGCACATTTTAGTAATTATCTATTACTGTATCAAATAATACGATAATTTAAAAAAAAAAAAAAAAAAAAAAATATTTCCAGTATTTCCAGTACTGTCATGTCAAAAATCTCTTCAGTCGAGTACTTTTAAGTTATAAGACATCAAGGACCTTTAATTCATAAAATGACAATAATAATAAAATATTGGGGGGAGACAGGAAAAAGAAAAGTCAATTAATGATTTAAAATGGACATGTGACTATTGATACAATTACATCTAGTCATCACAATATTATTCTTTAACTTTTTGAACATTTCCCCTGTCTTCCAGAGATGTAAAATTATGTCTATATTACAATACATTCGAGTTAACATGAACTAGATCTACGCTCTTGGTTTTGCTCTTAAATAAAATTTTAAATCTAGGGAATCTGCCTATTTGGATATTAAATCTGCATTCATCCTTTGCGGGAACATTAATTGTAAATAAACATTTGCCATTTAAAGGGTCGGGTTGCACAATTTTCATTTTCAAAGTCAAGCAATAATTTCTAAAATTTTATAGATATCGTTCAAATCGCAGTAGTTTAAACCTATGACTTTCTGTCATTAGGTTAGGATTTTGGTTTTCTTACATTATAACATGTGACGTTTAGTTAAGTATTTACATATTAAGTGACTGAAATCGACGCCGAAAACTAAGCCATCCGAATTCCTCAGCATAATTTGCACAAATTCATGGTCTTGAGTTTTATTACTAAATGCAAAAAAAAAGTAATAATAATTATTATAATAATAATAAGAATGACAATAATGATGCAATTGTATGGATGCTATTGCTCAACGGTTTCGTCGTATCAATTTTAATGAGTTAAGGTTAAATAAGTTTTTGAATTTTATATTAAAGGCGATCATTGGTAATTAACAACGGCATGGCTTATGGGGAGAATAGCATTTCTTGAGAAATTTTCTTTTATGAATTCGTACCAAGTGGAATTGTTGCATGTATACATCTGTTAGGAAACGATGTGAAAAATAAAAATAATATAATTAATACTGCTGAGAAATATGAAATTGTCAAATAGACAAAATATATGGATCCATGAAGAATAAATGAACGTGTGATGAAATTTGCTTTCATCTAATATTGTTTATCTTAGAAATAAACACTAAAATAAAAAAAGAATTAAAAAATAAAAATAAAAAATAAAATAATAATAAATATATGTTCAATACAGAATACTATTGCTGATTCAATGGCACGTTTTCAATGATCAAGGTTATTCCGGGAATAGCCATTATGGCTATTCCCGGATTAACCACAACAGGCATCTAGGCTTCCCTCCAATACCATTAAAGATCCTGTTTCATATTTTTTCATGGTTTTATTTCATAAATATGATGCTCAAATTAAGATCTGTCAATATTGTAAGTTCCAATAAGTATTATTTATAACGATATTACCTAATTTAACATTTCATGTAAATAAAGGGAGGTAATTAGAAATGTATTTCCTATAATAAAGTCAAATTTTTCCAATAAGAAATGAATGCATATAATTTATTGATGAAATATAATATGCACAAATGTTTGCAGTACACATTTTACATATTCTTCGATGTTTGAAAATTGTTTTATTTGCATAATTATATAGTATATATAATACATATATAAATTTTTGCAAGGGTGGTATACACTCAGTAACAATATCAATTACAAAACATACAGGATCTTTAAGCATTTCTTCAGATATTCAACCGGAAGTAGAAAGATTAGTTAGTTATCAATTAGTTCGTCATCCTCGGCATACAGAAAACTGGAATTGAGTGATATGTTTATTTTCGGTTCTGTTTTAATATAGCCACCCACAGTCTTACATAAACTGATATAAATGGCATACCTGCTTTTGCAACAATACGCACGTCACTAACGTTGTTGCATTTGCCTCAATTACCTAATGTAAACTATAAAGCCTTGTTTATAATACAAAGCAATTCATTGTGTGACAGTAGCATATCGAGGTTGAAGAATACTAGTTTGGACTAGAAATTAAACGTAAACTTACTTAGAAAATCTAAAAAAATTACTTAAGAAATATTTATGCCTTCAGTTTGAAGAAATTCTCTACTTTTCGTCACGTGTTACTGACAATATCCAAATTTCCATCTTGAAACAACTTACTAAAAAGTACATGTTTAACTATAATGATATATTTATTAATTAACTATAGGCAAAATGTCCGTTTTTTAACCGCACACGAATGATCTAGATTCTAGAGTGTATTGTTGGTACGTTTAATAGCATCGCTTAAACGACAAAATAGAAAAGGAAACGTATTGATGATATACAATTGTATCTTTAATAGATATCCCAATACAAATGATAAAGCTTCAATGGCTGTACTTTCATGCCATTTAATTTAAAACAGCATGCCTCTAGATTCATGCAAATTTTCATGAAAATTTAAAAAAAAAAAAAAAAAAAAATTCATGTTGGATACAGCACTTACAACCTATGTAATTCAGCAAAATAAAAGAAGTCAAAATATGCAAAATAACCCTCATTGCGTTAGTAACGCAGTAGAAATATGGTGGAAAATACTGCAAAACATATTGCATATTATAAAGATATTACTTCAGTTTTGAATCTTTTATTGTTCTTATAAATCAAGTACTTTTCTTTTGTTTGATTTTCTTGAAATATTTTGATTTCATCTGGGGGAGTGCAGCTTTAATGTAAATTGCATTAAATTTATAAGCATATGTTTTTCCCAACTCATTCAGAATAGGCTATGTATCCAGTTGTACATGTAGTTAAGTAAAAATGAGATAGCCGTCAAATATTCGTTCAACTCGTATGATTCTTGTACAATATATGTTTATAGTAGTATTTTAAGTGAACTTGATAACAGGGTGTTTCTAACTAAGGAAGACACTGCTTTCAAAATTATAAAGAGAAACAAAAGGTTCTGCCAATTGCCCGTAATGATATATTGGGCCGGCAGTCCGCCTTTGGGTTTAAATTTGCAGTGTCTATAATAAATATAATTACGGGTGCAGTTTACCCACAATTAAATGTATTTGTGATACCGTCGACGGATTACAATGCAGTAATTTAACTTCACTTAATAATTAATATATCACCCTGGAAAAAGAAAGGAAAAAAAAAAAAAAAAAAAAAAAAAAAAAATCATAATGGGTGCAGTTTACCCAGATATATTTTATAATGGGTGCAGTTGACCCAGATATATTTCTATCAGATTATCATATTGAACATGGGTGCAGTTTACCCAGATATATTTTATTATGGGTGCAGTTTACCCAGATATATTTTATTATGGGTGTAGTTTACCCAGATTTATTTCTATTATCATATGGGTGCAGTTTACCCAGATATATTTCTATCAGATTGAACATGGGTGCAGTTTACCCAGACTTATTGCACTTTTGGGTGCAGTTTACCCAGATATATTTTTATTATGGGTGCAGTTTACCCAGCTATATTTCCTAATTTTAAACATATATGAGTGCAAATTACACAAGGATATTCATGGAATTTTGAACATTTATAGCTGCATTTCCCCAAATACAATAATGTAATTTTGTACATTTATTGGTGAATTGTGGCCAAGTATTGGTACATTTTTTCATTGCAGATAATTCACGTAAAAATTACCAATTAAAAATAATATGTTATAAAATTGTATCGTTGTGAAGAACAAATTCTTTATAACAATAACATGTTTAAAAATAGGTTTTCCGGTGACCCAATTCCTTGCATGGTTGGTTGGCTCATCTCTAGTAAAGACACTTTTCATTAGTTTTTCGTTTTGTGTGGCATGTGCTCTTGTATGTGAAGTTTTTGTGTGACATGTGCATTTCATTTCATAGAGCCTACAATTTAGTATCTTCTTATTTAAATCTACCTGCATATTTGCTTGAACATTACGGTGTGATTCAAATGGGTTCTTCTTCGTCAGCGACTGCTGATGAAGAAGAAACTTTCTTTTAAGCCTAGATAAATCTAAATTTTCCTATGGTTGTGCAACATCTTTCCAAGCACTTAATTAATTCAGTCTCAGATTTGTTTGCGACATTCTTATAGATATATGGCTGTTCTCTGTGGTGGAACGTATCTATAGTGACATACAAAATAGTACAAACTTTATTAGAAATAGGGATTGTTGATAAAGTCTTAAAACCCCATGATCTTTTTGAGTAGATGGTGCCATTAACTCCTGTCTGGTCACAATACTACGTTAATTAATTAAATTTCGTTCGTGGTGTATGCTTAAACACACCAGTATCTGCAATTAAATCGTCATGACTGAGTCATTTATTTTGGTTTATGTTAGCCCGCTGTTGGCGGAAGGCTCTCTCAATTCTTCGAGACCCTTTTGGCGAAAATCTAACATAAAATTACAGGTTTTTGCAATCGATGACGAAGCAAAACCTATTTTATAATATTCTATTTTATATAAAGGTTCAAACTCTATTAACTTTATGTTACTTAATGACCAGTCATGACGGAAATTTTATGCCAACCATAAATAAAATAAGTTAAACATATATGTTGCATTTATTATCATTTGTTCCTTTAAAGTGACTATGTTGAAAAAATAATATTCAGTTTAAGCGCTTGAGTTTAAACTCTTTATTTTTACACTATACGTCACAGTATTTTTGCAATGACCTGTATATTTGGCTCCTCCTCCTAACAAGTCATTCAATCTGGTTCGCGCATGCTTAGTAGACTGGGTATATAAACCGAGCACGCTTCTGCAAATTCCTTTTCGATCCAGTCTCCGAGCTCCAGAAGCTGCCGTGAACTAACACGGAAAAATACCCACCCGCCCTTCCCATTTGCTTTGCTGTTGTCTCTTTTTTCTGTTTTCAGGTAATAATGACCGCCGCGATACTTAGCCCTTCTTCGTCATGGCTGGAATTATCATTTCAACAGTCAATATTTGTTTTGCGACATCCGGAAATTTACCAACGTCGACTGCCAGACCCCTATCATTTGAATCCGACGTCGGTTCAAAATTTACATTTAACTGGCCTGTACATAACCATAAACATTTCGAACACCTGTGGGATGCAACTGACTTTCGGATATTTGTAGAATAGTCATAAGATAACCTGTAACCGATGTCGGTACAAAACAAAACACTGTTAATTAACTTAACCCATGTGTAAATAAAACACATATTGTCTTTAAAAAAGTATTGATAATGGTTATTATCATATCATTACATTGTCATACATGGTTTCAAGCAAGTTTACTTACATTATATATCACACTACTATTTATTTAAAATAATAATTTTTCTTATAAAGAACGTTTCTCTTTATTGAGCTGTATGTATTTTGTATTTTATATGTTTACTGGCATATCTGAGCAGGTCCGTTGTTCTATATTCCGAGGAATAGTCTGAGGAGGTTTCCTCCGTGCATGCCAACGGATGCTACGGTTCCTCTTACAAAAGGGGTTTTACGTAGGCGGCCAGTATTCCTAAGACGAATATACGATCAAACCTGTTGAGTAATTGTTCTGGTTTGGAATGTCCTAGACATTCTATGGCAGTTTTGATCGTGATATGCTTGATAAATGTATTTATATATACAAATGGCTGTATCAGTCTTTTCAAAATTTAACTAATTTTTATTGATAATATTTATAAAACATATTTTCGGATATCAAGTGTTTATCATATCTGGCATTGTCAGCACATTGTCTCTTTTTCGAAACATAATTTTAATTGATTATATCTGAATGAACATATTAAGCTACCGAAGCATATATAAGCAATATATAAAATGTCACTTCCGACTGTTAGGATATGAGCATTAGTCAATAGTCATATAATATTATAATTGATATACATGTAATTGTTAATATTATTCTATAACAGATTGTCTGGAATATTTAATGATCTTATTTAGCCGTCGATATGGCGAAAATCTAACATAAAATTACAGGTTTTTGCAATCGATGACGAAGCAAAACCTATTTTATAATATTCTATTTTATATAAAGGTTCAAACTCTATTAACTTTGTGTTACTTAATGACCAGTCATGACGGAAATTTTATGCCAACCATAAATAAAATAAGTTAAACATATATGTTGCATTTATTATCATTTGTTCCTTTAAAGTGACTATGTTGGAAAAATAACATTCTGTTTATCACATACCCAAGTACAGTAAAAAAAAATTGCATTGAAGCACGGTTGTGTGATAAAATGAAGTATTTGTAGATAACCCGACCAAAACAAAATAAATTAAAAGTATTTTAAAATATTCGTAAAAAATGCATTCTTAGATTATCTTTTATTAATTAATTAATTATGTGAGTTTCATGAAAAAAAAATGATTTTTTTAAGTAACTAATATTCAGTACAAATAGTCTATATAATAAATATTACATGAAGTTACGCATTCAGAGAATTGATAACTACTTGATTGTTTGCAAAAATGCAATTGTTGAAAATTGCAAAAAAATATCGAAATCATACTGTTTTAATAAAAACTAGTTCTTATTAATAAATATGGGTAATACTTTTCCAGAGAAAAACGGAAGCGTATGGGCCACCAAAGTCAAGATTTTATACAATATGCATCATTTGCTCGACGCGAGCAAAATATATCGTAAGTTTTTTTGTTGTATACCACGTACTATTTTCTTGATTAAGTTCAACCGGTGCTATGGAGTGTGTACGGTAGCTTGGATTTACCGAGTCTTCAGCATTTTAATTGAACAAACAAAATAAAGCCAGTTATGTTTTGAAATACAAGACAACATTACAATATTCGATGAAAGGAATGTTGGTATTATTTATGTTAACATTACAAGTTTAACAAATACTAGAAAAGCAAGTAATGCTTTGGTTAATATAATGCTTGATACACATATTTCAGTGTTTTTATATTTTCTGGTCCTTCGGCATAATTGATTCCAACACTTTAATGTGTTGAAAAACGTGTTGAAAATTGTTGAGTATCGCTGAAGCCGGTGCTAGGGAGCTTGAGGGATGTTGCACCTTTTTATAATACCTCATGTACAGACTTCATCAAACCGAGTCTGCAATTTTCATGCAATTTTGTTGTTATTAATTCTTCCGAGGGATCACTTTTCTCTAGATCTTTCAATAAATATATTTTACCCTTGAAGTTTTATTTAAGATTTTGTTATTTGTTCCTGAATTAAAACTATCATATTATGATATCACGTCATAAAATATGTTGTCATTTTGACATTGTGTAGTCTGGACTATAAACCCTTTGACTTATAACATAGATATTTTTTTTTTTGAAAAAAAAAAACAAGAAAAAAAAACTGTATATACTTTACTTACACTTACAGGAAATACTTTCAAATGTTCACAACATCTGATTACGGGAACTGTTATACGATGGACCACACAAAGTACAAAGCTTGGGGGAGTGGACCTGACAGTGGTATAATGCTCATTTACATCTGTCTTAATATCATTGCTTTTATTAATCAAGCCTATATTGTCTGTAACAACTGAGTCAATACTTTCTACTACTTTACCTTGACCATATTTAGATATACACGTTGTTTCGGGGAACTGCTTTTGTAATCATGGATTTTTGTTTGTTTTGGGTTTTACATCACATTGACACAGTATAGGTCATATCGCGACTTTCCTGCTTTACTGGTGAAAGAAGACCTCAGATGTCCTTCCGTGCATTATTTCAGGCACGAACGGGCACCTGAGTAGAGTAAGCTAGCTGGATAGCTTCCTCAAATGAAAGAATCCAAAGTCCCTGTCGGGATTCGAACCCACAGAGGTGAGGGGCAAGTGGTTTGAAGTCACCGACCTTAACCACTCCGCCACGGACGCCCAATTTGTAAGCATGGAAGTTTATATTGGAGAGTTACGTTTTAAATTTGTTAAGTGATTAATCTGTTCGTTTTATCGCTATACTTGCTGGTATTTTGATGTTTTATAGGAAGTAGGTTATGTCTTGTTAAAATTATATATGTATGAATGTAAGGGACGTTTGGTAGAAATGTCATAAAAACAATATTGTAATTGTTTTCCTTTTTAGGTTACATTATCTGTTTATCCGTAACATTAATAATGCATAAGAAATCACAGTGTTTCATAGCAAAATACCATGGAATTTGGCCTTTACTCAGAAAATATGACAGTGGAATATCAGTACAAAAAAGTCAAATATGTTTGTCTTTCCCTAATTCTATACTTTTCTACCAGATACATGTACGAAATCCTTTAATAATGCATAAGAAATCACAGTGTTCCATAGCAAAATACCATGGAATTTGGCCTTTACTCAGAAAATATGACAGTGGAATATCAGTACAAAAAAGTCAAATATGTTTGTCTTTCCCTAATTCTATACTTTTCTACCAGATACATGTACGAAATCCTTTGGTATGCGGTGGGTGGGGTAATGCGATATTTTCGCTATAATTACACAATGAGCGTTATAAAAAGTTACTCGTTACAACGCTGTCTTGAGATCATGGACCCCAACATGAGCGCTATATCGCGGCTCCAGTGTACTAGTAAAAATTGTTGCTTCAAAATTAGTATGGAATGTTGTGTAAATGATAATTTTGTGATGATATAATTCTTACATGTAAAATTATTTGATAATAAAAAATGTGACAAGAGTTTAGGTGATCAATACCAAACACATATTAACAATTTAATATTATCTTATTCCGTTTCAAATAAAAAATACATGTACCATTATCAGACATTTTGTAATAATGTATTAAAAAGAGTCTTAATTGCGTTTTGCATCAGAATTACTCTTAGACCACTATGCAATTAGCATAATTAAAATGTATGCTTTTATGTTTAATGATATAATAACCAAAATAAACAGTATTTGCATATGGTTATTGGAATCAGTTATAAATTCTGGAAAACAAATTGCAAGAACCGCAAAAAGTAAAAATACAGACTGGTGAATGAATAATGTGTTTTGAAAGAAAACAAAAGTATCTCTTTGTTACAGGTATAAAGCTCACATTGTATCTAGAAGTAGATGAATATATAGAGAGTGTCACTTTGTTACAGGTATAAAGCTCACATTATATCTAGAAGTAGATGAATATATAGAGAGTGTCACTTTGTTACAGGTATAAAGCTCACATTATATCTAGAAGTAGATGAATATATAGAGAGTGTCACTTTGTTACAGGTATAAAGCTCACATTATATCTAGAAGTAGATGAATATATAGAGAATGTCACTTTGTTACAGGTATAAAGCTCACATTATATCTAGAAGTAGATGAATATATAGAGAGTGTCATTGTGTTACAGGTATAAAGCTCACATTCTATCTAGAAGTAGATGAATATATAGAGAATGTCACTTTGTTACAGGTATAAAGCTCACATTATATCTAGAAGTAGATGAATATATAGAGAGTGTCATTGTGTTACAGGTATAAAGCTCACATTCTTTCTAGAAGTAGATGAATATATAGAGAATGTCACTTTGTTACAGGTATAAAGCTCACATTATATCTAGAAGTAGATGAATATATAGAGAATTATTCGTCTGGTTATGGTGTCCGTATTGTATTTCATGAGCCTGGGACATTTCCTATGCCCGCTGAAGAAGGGTTGACGCTGAGCCCAGGTTACGAGACAAGTATTGGTTTGAGGGCTGTAAGTGTTCAATTTTATAATTATATATGCTCCAAGTGTTGCTAACTGATATAACTAAAGTAATGCTACATGAAAATTGCATCTAGTGTTTCTAATTGAAAATATATCTAGTGTTTCTAACTAAAAATGCATCTATGGTTGCTAACTGAAAATGCTTCTATTGTTTCTAATTGAAAAAGCATCTATGGTTTCTAATTGAAAATGTATCTAGTGTTTCTAACTGAAAATGCATCTATGGTTGCTAACTGAAAATATATCTAGTGTTTCTAATTGAAATAGCATCTATGGTTTCTAATTGAAAATGCATCTAGTGTTTCTAATTGAAAATGTATCTAGTGTTTCTAATTGAATATGTATCTAGTGTTGCTAACTGAAAATGCATTTATGGTTGCTAACTGAAAATATATCTAGTGTTTCTAATTGAAAAAGCATCTATGGTTTCAACTTGAAAATGCTTCCAGTGTTTTTAATTGAAAATGCTTCCAGTGTTTCTAACTGAAAATGCATCTATGGTTGCTAACTGAAAATGCTTCTATTGTTTCTAATTGAAAAAGCATCTATGGTTTCTAATTGAAAATATATCTAGTGTTTCTCATTGAAAATGCATCTAGTGTGTCTCATTGAAAATGCATCTATGGTTGCTAACTGAAAATATATCTAGTGTTTCTAATTGAAATAGCATCTATGGTTTCTAATTGAAAATGCATCTAGTGTTTCTAATTGAATATGTATCTAGTGTTGCTAACTGAAAATGCATTTATGGTTGCTAACTGAAAATATATCTAGTGTTTCTAATTGAAAAAGCATCTATGGTTTCAACTTGAAAATGCATCTAGTGTTTCTAACTGAAAATATATCTATGGTTGCAAACTGAAAATGCTTCTATTGTTTCTTATTGAAAAAACCTCTATGGTTTCTAATTGAAAATGTATCTAGTGTTTCTAACTGAAAATGCATCTATGGTTGCTAACTGAAAATATATATAGTGTTTCCAATTGAAATAGCATCTATGGTTTCTAATTGAAAATGCATCTAGTGTTTCTAATTGAAAATGTATCTAGTGTTGCTAACTGAAAATGCATCTATGGTTGCAAACTGAAAATGCTTATATTGTTTCTTATTGAAAAAAAAAAACCTCTATGGTTTCTAATTGAAAATGTTTCTAGTGTTTCTAATTGAAAATATATCTATGGTTGCAAACTGAAAATGCTTCTATTGTTTCTTATTGAAAAAAAACCTCTATGGTTTCTGATTGAAAATGTTTCTAGTGTTTCTAATTGAAAATATATCTATGGTTGCTAACTGAAAATGCTTCTATTGTTTCTTATTGAAAAAGCATCTATGGTTGCTGACTGAAAGTACATCTGGTGTTCTAATTGAAAATGCATCTAGTGTTTCTGATTAAAAATGCATCGGGTGCTTCTAATTGAAAATTCATCTAGTGTTTCTAAGTGAAAATGCATTTAATGTTTCTAATTAAAAATGCATCTAGTGTTACTTATTGGAAAAAAGCATCTATGGTTTCTAATTGAAAATGTATCTACTGTTTCAATTAAAAATGCATCTAGTGTTTCTTAATGAAAATGCATCTAGTGTTTTTAATTGAAAATGCTTCTAGTGTTTCTTATTGGAAATGCATCTAGTATTGCTTATTGAAAAGGCATCTTGTGTTTTTAATTAAAAAAAACCGGAAAAATCTGCAAAGGATAATTAAGAAATATACTCCGGATTTATTTGAAAATCGATATGAGCCGTGCCACGACAAAACCAACATAAGGATCCATGCTGTTCGCTTACAAACCCTATTACAAGTAGAGAAACTGATAGCGAACAGCATGGATCCTGATCAGACTGCGCGGATGCGCAGGCTGGTCTTGATCCATGCTGGTCGCAAATGCACTACGTTGGTTTTGTCGTGACGCGGCTCATATTGTGTGCGATTCTTAGTCCGATTTGAGTAAATAAAAAGCGTTGCAAGGCTTTTCATTTTTTTTAGTGATATTGAACAATTAAAATGATGATTTTGGAAAAACGGGGAGTGAATGGTCTGAAAAATTGTACAAAAGTTATTGGTCTAGACCTTCATCAAAGGGTACACAATTATTGAAAAAATATTTCCAGTCCCGTGAAGTCATATAACCTCAGTGGAGTCCCTTTAATGTAACTCTATATTTCTTGTCAGATAAACGTCACCCGTCTAGATGAACCTTATGGGGATTGTACTCCGGACGGAAATAAATTCCGAAAGAAGTATAACATTACTTACAGTAAAACGGTAAGGTTAAACAAAATTACGCTTTGTGTGCAAGAAACTAAAGTTACTTTGTCGAGATACGATAGTATCGTTTTGGAGTTCACATTTTATTTTCTGACTTTCTGTTCAAGGACTTTCTGTTCAGAGTCTTCACGTGAGTATTATGTTAATTTAAAAGCAAAACCCTTTCTAAATGTCTTTTGTGATATTTTATGTGAAAAACAAACAAACAACACCGTAAAGGTCATATGGCGACTTTCCAGCTTTACTGGTGGGATGGGGGAGATACCTCAGATGCCGCTTCGTGCATTATTTCAGTCACGAACGGACACCTGAGTAGAACCATGGACATTCTGTAAGCTAGTTAGATAGTTTCCTCACATGAAAGAATCAAAAGTCCCTGGCAGGATTTGAACCCATTGCGGTAGGAGACAAGTGATTTAAAGTCAATGGCCTTACACACTCGACCGTGAAGCCCCATTATCTTGCATCTTAATACGATAAAAGCAATTTAAACATTATGCATTATGCATGATGATTCTTTAAATGAATTTACATAAAAAGATATGTGTAAATACATGTAATAGATTTTGTATATATATATGTAGGCGTGCCTGGCGTTTTGTCGTGTAGAAAGCGTTATAAGAGAATGTGGGTGTATACCATTTGATGCACCAGATATAGACTTTGGCAAGAAACACCCAATATGTGGCAGTCGTTACTTTGGTAAGTCACAAATTGAAGTAGTATATGTAGAGTTAAATGCTGCTGATAGGTTAGAAAGTCTTTGTTTTATTCTAAAAGTTAATAATTTAAATCAGTAAAAACAAAAAGAAATAAGGAATGGAAATAAAAGAAATTTGTGAAATGTATAAAACTATTTTTTTTCTTTTGTGTTTGTTTTGTGTGAGTTTGTATTTTTGTTTGTTTGTATTTATTGTTTGTTTGTTTGTGTTGGAGTTGTTGTTGTTGATTTTTACTGCGGGGTGTTTTTTTCTATTTTATGAGTGATTCTTATTTTGTGTAAGAATTACGTGAGTATTTTTTTTATACTTTTAAAGTTAGTTCATCAAGATGAAATTCATCACATTTTTGAAAGATGAAAACGTTTTGTTCGTCTGTTTATTGTATCCATACATTACACTTTTGCTGATGATTCTTGTTTGCGATAAAGATCTATTTAAGCATTTACTCAAGTAATAATTAATTTATTTTGCAGACGAATATTGTGTAGACGATGTAGATAATAGGTTTGAACATGGTGCACTTGATTGTGACTGCATTAGTCCATGCTCGTAAGTTATACTTACCTTACATTTCTTTTTACCAGTTGTAAATGAAAATGACAAATTTATGTAAATCAAGTAAAAGTTCTATATGTAAATTTCCTTTTAATTCCAATTTCAATTAGAACAGTATTTGAGCCGCGTCATGACAAAACCAACATAGTGGGTTTGCGACTAGCATGGATCCAGACCAGCCTGCGCATCCGCGCGGTCTGATCAGGATCCATGCTGTTCGCTTGCAAACCCTATAGCAAGTAGAGAAACTGATAGCGAACAGCATGGATCCTGATCAGACTGCGCGGATGCGCAGGCTGGTCTGGATCCATGCTGGTCGCAAACCCATTATGTTACCTTTTAATTAAATTTGTGCCCTTAAAATTAACAAATTTTGAAATTCAGGGACAAATTCATCGAAAAGGAACTGGGGGACCTCTATTTTCCTTGATTTGAGCCGTGTCACGACAAAACCAACATAATGGGTTTGCGACCAGCATGGATCCAGACCAGCCTGCGCATCCGCGCAGTCTGATCAGGATCCATGCTGTTCGCTATCAGTTTCTCTACTTGCTATAGGGTTTGTAAGCGAACAGCATGGATCCTGATCAGACTATATGGTATATGAGTAACGTTTTGGAGAATGTAAAATGGTACCAAATATAAAAAAAAGGTTTTTGAGAAAATAAAATGACCGAATTTCGATCACTTAATGGTCCTTTATTTTCTTTTTCTTTTAGTGAGTTCGTATACAGCAAGACAATGTCAGGGCGTGTTTGGCCACACAAAGACTACCTGGTAAGTTTTTAAAATCTAGATCGTGTATAATTTCAAGAACTAGTTTCTGTCATACGCTATTCTTTCATACGCCATTATCTGAAGTAGTTGGAACGTCCGTGGCCGAGTGTTTAAGGTCGTTTCAAACCCCTTGCTTCTCACCGCTGTGGGTTCGAGTCCCGACAGGGAATTTAGATTTTTTCATGTGAGGAAGCTATCCAGTTAGCCCACGGAACGCTGGTAGTTTTACTCAGGTGCCCGTTCGTGCCTGAAATAATGCACGGAAGGGCACCTGAGGTCTTTCTCCACCAGTAAAGCTGGAACGCCGCCATATGACCTATACTGTGTCGGTGTGACGTAAAACCCAATCAAACAAACAAACAAAATCTGAAGTAGTTAAATATCTATCGAGGTTATACAAAATGGTCACGGCGTATAAGTCGTCAACATATTTGTTATTCATTTCTTTTTACTAGATTAAAAAATTCATTTATTTTTATTTAGGAGAAAGTGTTAATGAAGGATATATGTGCAAAGAATCTGACGTCATTAAAAAGCGCATGCGCACAAATTCAAAATGAAACTACAGACTTCAATTATGTCAGGTATTGAAACAATAGATATTTACAATTTATTATCAAAAAAAAAATACCATTCATGCTATATAATATACAGAAATGGTTACTGAGAAAAAAATGAAAACAAAAGCAAATATACATGTAATTATATATCATAAAGTGTACATAACAAATAGTTGATCAAGTTTTAACTTTAATTTCACTCTCCACACATATATTTTGAGATGCTAATACTGTACTAGTGTTGATAGTTACACATTAATCAGTTACATATTGCATGTTTGCTGTATATTCAGTGTTTGTAGGCAATATACTACAGAACAGAACAAGCTCTTTAATAAAAGTATGTTCTGTTCTGTTCTATAACAATACTTCAATGCAATAAACAAAATATTGACCTCTGAAAGAGCGTTGCTCTGTAGAATACGTATGCAACTTAAAGCTGTTTGTTAATTCATTTTGTCCCTAGATACAAGAATAACTTCGTTCGAGTATTGATTTATTTTGAAGACCTGAACTATGAAAAGATAACAGAAGAACCGTTTTATACGGTAAGTTTTTACATGTAATTAATCATTTTTTAATAATAATTCTTATTATTTTTTTTAATCTTTTGGTTTATGACTCAAAGTTTGTTTTTTATTTGAATTTTTTCTATCGTTTCTGATGATTATGATTATTATAGTAAATTGTAGGATTTTTTTCCGTTTGTTCGTGTAGAAAATCTATGCATTGACATTAAAATGGAAAACAGTATCTTTGGAAGACACCCGTGACCTAGTCCATTATATCATTGGCGTCCGCGCCGAAGCGCGACGCCCCTTATGGAATGAAATCAGATTTTGTGAAAGGGCAATTGCAGCTTCTCGGGCCTTTTCGTCAATCATAATAGCCGATCATTCCGATTGGTAAGAGGGTGCTTGATTATCAAAAAATGAAAAGTCGCGATATGAACAATGAATAGCTAACTGAAGTATTTCGTAATGCAAACATATTCAAATGAAATTATCTTATTTTTATTAGTACACAGTGGGTAATAAATAGAATGATGGCTTTAACATTGTGAAAGCCATCTATTTATAGAAGTAGTTTTAGTTTAACGAAACGGTCATTCGTGTCACGCTATGGTAATAAATAACGAACTAGAGAATTTTGCTGGAAATGAAATGCAAACATATTATGTCTTTCGTCCGGCCATTCATAAATATTAAATATTATACAATTGAATTCTGGTAAAAACCAATTAACCATTGAAAAGTTTATAAGAATATCTTGTCATCAGATGTCTTCTAGTTCATCTTCGCCTGATGCATTTCTTGCTTGGACGCCCTTTGATGCTTTGCATCATTGCTTTTCTTGTTATCTATGCATAATGGGAACATCGCGTAAAACCGGGGGTGGGGGAATTAATAAGATAACTTTAGGTTAAATATATTCAATGCATTAGATAAATAATGTGTGTGAATTAAAATTTTATTACTTTTATATAAATAAACTTTTCTTGTATTAAAGAAGGAAAAAAAATATTTTTAATTCGTTTCATTTGAAATACAGTACTTTCAAAATATCCTGTTATGCTGGAAAGTCAATTGAAACTTTTTACTTTTCTTTACTTTCAGCCAGTTAGGTTCGTATCGGATATAGGCGGTGCTGCCGGGCTGTTTATGGGCATTTCACTTCTCAGTTTCTTTGAAATTCTACAACTTATTCTAGAAGTAGTCCTGCACATGTTCAACAGAAAAACTAAGATAGACGAAGTACCTGAGAAAAAGGGCGTACCATGTTAATACTTATATAACGAATTCAATGTGTTTCTTCCAAATCAATGTTGTTGTGCGTGTGCGTGTGCATGTGCGTGTTTTTCTATTTGGAAAGTCAGTTATTAAAAAACTGAAGCTCAGACGGAATACAGTGCTGACATCTCCTGTCGCACAGCATGTCATGTCATGATTTGGAAGAAGAAAATCATTACGTTGTGTTGGACAGGACAAAGCTTTGCATCATGTGTTGCAAAAACTAACAAAACACAAACTTTCTCTTAACTTTAGATAATATTCCGTATTTAGAATTGTCATTAGAAAGTGAATTAACAACAATACTGTCAACGATACACCTTGAATAAAATATGAGAAAAAAGTACAAATAAAATACTCATGTGAAGTTAAGTGAAGAAATTGAGCTGATTCACTAAAATGCTTGAAAAGTCAGAACAACTTAGCAAATGCAATGCGATGCTTGTGTATAAGGAAGGTGGCAATTATATGCTCAACGTCTTGCTTGTTGTGTAAAATAATAAATATTGATAATATTACTTTGAAAAAAAAAAGACTTTATGAGCAGAATGTAACTGATTGTAGAATTAGATTATTTATACGGAATGGTTAAGATAAAAAAAATTCAACAAAAAAGATTACATATATCATGTTAAATTAATTTTTAAAAATTGAAATTACTATGATCATTTATTACCTAGTAGTTAAAGAATGTATATCATAAAAAACATTATCTCCACTTTCTCTAAAAATCCAAATATGTAGACATAGTAGCAATATATTACAAATCATATTGTCAAACCTGTGATACTCATGATATCGAAGATGAATATCATTTTATTCTTTATATCCTTGTAATAGAAACATTGGTAAGATATACATGTATACACTATAAACAAGTAAAGCTGGAAAGTCACTATATACATATTTATGACTTTTAAAGTGTCGGTGTTGCTCAAACCAAATAACAACAAACAAGTAATTATATTTGTTCGAAAATCAATATTTAATAAAGGTTTAAACAAATCTTTATTGATAACATTAGCAATGTATTTCAAAGAAAGCTTGGTAATTAGAAATACTCGTATATATTTGTAAATTTCTAAAACTCTTTGATCATCCTCTTCCAAGACAGTAAGAAAAGTATCTTCACTTATCAGTATGTTGTTGTTTTTTATGTGATCATGACCACGTGACATATAGAAATTGTTTTGCATATCTAATTGCATCACGATGTGCAAGTACAAAATAATGTATTTTCTTTAATCGTATGATTGACTTTTAAGGGTATAGGTGCAATATGACTAGTTAGGAAAATATAAAAAATATTTTGATAGTGAATAAATAATCTTTGAAAGGTATTTTATTGAACATATTGTAATGTGAGATAGTATACTGTTTGAATACAGACAAACCTGTGAATTAAGGTCATCCAAAGGAGAGACCATACATGACCTTTATAGACATGTGGTCTTTATCCGGTGTTAACTCTGTTGGCGTTTTTCTATCAATGAAGGTGTATCAAAGAGGAGTCTCTTTTACTGGGTGGTCTATATCGGGAGGTGACCTTTAACATAGGTTTGATTGTTGTGTCAAATCAAAGAATGGTCTTTTTACCCCGGGTGGCCTTAATTCTGAGGTAACCTTTAAAACAGGTCTGATTGTGGTAGCAAATTGTATGAGAATTTACATTATGGTCATTACCTCTTGCCACATTGTCACCGTTGCACTGCAATTTGTAACCCGCATTTTGTAAAAGTTGTCTTGTTACTTAATAAATGTCATAAAATTTCAGTGCTGAAAGGAATTAACGTATTATCATTTTTGTTATATTTCTTTAAAACCGTGTTCTTACTCTACAACAGTCAGACCAATACGATATCTTATTTTTATGAGCGATATCTAATTTCTAAATGAAAAATGAATTCGATGATCATTAAAACATTATCAAAGATAAATGATGTGCAGTTTTATAACGTATGAACTGCGCAAATGCTTCTTAGTTGTTGATTTGTTCAGTTTTTTCTTTTTCTTCTTGACCACACGCTGCCTTCCATGTAACGGCACAAAAGCATACGATTCTCGACGAACACGTAAATACACACATCATAGGGATGTTTAGACATTATTTACTTGATAAAAATACCCAATCAAGCTGAGCCGGTATATTTCGTTTGTTTCTTCTTTTATGTTTGAAACAGATATACGGTTATTCTTTGATATTTGAAACAGATATACGGTTATTCTTTGATATTTGAAACAGATATACGGTTATTCTTTGATATTTGAAAACAGATCGGTTATTTTTGATATTTGAAAACAGATCGGTTATTTTTTGATATTTGAAACAGATATACGGTTATTCTTTGATATTTGAAACAGATATACGGTTAGTCTTTGATATTTGAAAACAGATCGGTTATTTTTTGATATTTGAAACAGATATACGTTATTCTTTGATATTTGAAACAGATATACGGTTATTCTTTGATATTTAAAATATATATATAAAAAAAAGATATACGGTTATTCTTTGATATTTAAAACAGGTATATATGGTTATATGTCAGGTAAAACATTTTAACCCTTACAACGCTAAGTATCTTAAATGCACTTGTCCATCTTTCAATTTGGACAATACATTCATCGTGTCAGATGTACCAGCTGATCCTGGTTGCATGAATAGAATCTGTCTCCTCCAATGCCGAAATACAGGCATAACAGATTTAAATGCACTTCAAATTAAAGTGACATTATGCCCATCCAAGTGTATAAATGAGTGAACAGGTGAAAGTCAAAATAAGTTTTCATTTTGCCATAATTCCTTTTAATAAAAACAATTATTTCACATTAACAATAAACAACGCATGGATCCAAACGATTTTTTCTTAAATATCCATTAGAATTTACCTGTAACGTTCAGTTCATAAAAAGAGTGGGGCAGTCTTTTTATATTTTAGGCAGATTTTAAATTTTATCCAAAACATTTTCCAATATGAACTGTTGGTCAATCACCATTTTAACAGTCAATATTTTGAAATATATAGTCAGTTCAGCTCAACTTGACTATGAAAATATGAACATAATGCCACTTTAAACTATATTAGAGTGCACTGTCACACCCATAAGAGATCCTCTCAGATAGGATACCAAATAGAGCTATATTCGGTGAAATCCACATCATTAATTTGGGTGCGTTATATTGCGGAAAACATGCGTAATGTCGAACTGAGTTCTTATGATAAACTGAAAATATAAAAGGTAATAATAGAAACTGATGTTGACGAGGGAAGTAAAGCAAAACAAGAACCGGTTGAACCGGGTGATGCTCCCCGAATAGGTTTTGGACACAGGAAAGTAAACCTCTTGTAGTGTCAGATGTTATGCCATAGACAAAGTTCAAAGTGTCCCCTTCTTCTTTTTTTTGGTTTATGACTCCAAGTGTTTGTTTTTTATTTGAATTATTTGATAATGATTATTATAGTAAATTGTAGGATTTTTTCCGTTTGTTCGTGTAGAAAATCTATGCATTGACATTAAAATGGAAAAAGACACCCTGGCCTAGTCCATTATATCATTATCTATGTATAATGTGAACATCGCTAAAGACTAAAAGAGATGATTAGATAACTTTAGGTTAAATATATTCAATGAAATAGATGAATACTGTGTGTGATCAGGGAGGAAACTGAAAGAAACTAAAAGGGCACTAAATTTTACTTTTTTGTTGTAATATAATAATAAGAAAGTAAGGAGATATATTTAACTTAAAGCGTTTCGTTTAAAACACATGAAACTTTTTTTTAAAAAACAGTGAACAGCTAGGATAGAAAGTCAATTGAAACTTTTTTTCTTTTCTTTACTTTCAGCCAGTTAGGTTCGTATCGGATATAGGCGGTGCTGCCGGACTGTTTATGGGTATTTCACTTCTCAGTTTCTTTGAAATTCTACAACTTATTCTAGAAGTAGTCCTGCACATGTTCGACAGAAAAACTAAGTCAGATGAAGTACCTGAGAAAAAGGGCGTACCATGTTAATACTTATATAATGCATTCAGTGTGTTTCTGCCAAATCAATGTTGTTGTTTTGTGTGTGTGGGTCTTTTTTTCTTTTTGGAAAGTCAGTTATTAATAGACTGAAGCGCAGACGGAATACAGTGCTGACATCTCCTGAATCACAGCATTTTATGTCATAATTTGGAAGAAGTAAATCATCACGTTGTGTTGGACAGGACAAAGCATCATGTGTTGCAAAAACTAACAAAACACAAAATTTCTCTTTAGACAATTCTCAGTATATATATAAATGAACAACAATACTGTCAACGATACACATAAAATATGAGAAAAAAGTACTAATAATATACTCATGTGAAGTTAAGTGTCATTCTAAATCTGAAGAAATTGAGCGGATTCACTTTAGGTTTTGTTAAAATGTTTGAAATATCAGACCAACTAAGCACATGCAATGCAATGTTTGTGTGTTTAACTGTTTATGGAGAATAAGGAAGGTGGCAATTATATACTTTTCGTTTTGCTAGTTGTGTAAAATGATAAATATTGATAATATAACTTTGAAAAAAATATTTTATGAACAGAATGTATCTGATTTTAGAATTAGACTATTTATGAGTGATGGTTAAGATAAAAAGTTATGCAACAAAAAGGTTTACGTACATCATAACATTCTGTGTATATGAAATGATGGCATGACATTAATGTTCTGGTCAGGATTTTCACAGATACTGTTAAATTAATTTTCAAAATTAATTTTTACTATGATCATTTATTACCTAGTAGTTAAAGAATGTGTATCTAAAAATATTTGCACACTCTCTAAGAATCCAAATATGTAGACATAATAACAATTTATTACAAATCATATTGTCTAGTCTGTGATGCTCATGATATCGAAGATGAATATTATTTTATTCTCGTATGTCTTTGTGATAGAAACTTTCGTAAGATATATATACTATAGACAAGTAAAGCTGGGAAGTCACTATACGTGACAGTTATAGTGTCGGTATTGCTCAAACCAAGTAACAACAAGCAAGTAATTATATATGTTCGAAAATCCAAGGTTTAAACAAATCTTTATTGATAACATTAGCAATGTATTTCAAAGAAAGCTTGGTAATTAGAAATACTCGTATATATTTGTAAATTTCTAAAACTCATACTTTGATCATCCTCTTCCAAGACACTAAGAAAAGTATCTTCACTTATCAGTATGTTGTTGTTTTTTATGTGATCATGACCACGTGACATATAAAAATTGTTTTGCATATCTAATTGCATGACGATGTGCGAGTAAAAAATATTTGTATTTTCTTTAATCGTATGATTGACTTTTAAGGGTATAGGTGCAATATGACTAGTTAGGAAAATATAAAAAATATTTTGATAGTGAATAAATAATCATTGAAAGGTATTTTATTGAACATATTGTAATGTGAGATAGTATACTGTTTGAATACAGACAAACCTGTGAATTAAGGTCATCCAAAGGAGAGACCATACATGACCTTTATAGACATGTGGTCTTTATCCGGAGTTAACTCTGTTGGCGTTTTTCTATCAATGAAGGTGTATCAAAGAAGAGTCTCTTTTACAGGGTGGTCTATATCGGGAGGTGACCTTTAACATAGGTTTGATTGTTGTGTCAAATCAAGGAATGGTCTTTTTACCCCGGTGGCCTTTATTCTGAGGTAACCTTTAAAACAGGTCTGATTGTGGTAGCAAATTGTATAAGAATTTACATTATGGTCATTACTACTTGCCACATTGTCACCGTTGCACTGCAATTTGTTACCTGTATTTTGTAAAAGTTGTCTTGTTACTTAATAAATGTCATAAAATATCAGTGCTGAAAGGAATTAACGTATTATCATTTTTTGTTATATTTCTTTAAAACCGTGTTCTTACTCTACAACCTTCAGACCAATACGATATCTTATTTCTATGAGCGATATCTAATTTCTTAATGAAAAATGAATTCGATGATCATTAAAACATTATCAAAGATAAGTGATGTGCAGTTTTATAACGCATGAACTGCACAAATGCTTCTTAGTTGTTGATTTGTTCAGTTTTTTCTTTTTCTTCTTGACCACACGCTGCCTTCCATGTAACGGCACAAAAGCATTACGATTCTCGACGAACACGTAAATACACACATCATAGGGATGTTTAGACATAATTTACTTGATAAAAATACCCAATCAAGCCGAGCCGGTATATTTCGTTTGTTTCTTCTTTTATGT